GTAATTGGGGTGGCCGTGATAATTGCGATTGGAAGTGCATTATTATGGTATTGTTATTTTAAATCAAAAAATGTTATGCTCATCTCTGGTGATAATGTTGATAAACTATTGTAAAAAATTTTTTTAAAAAAACTAAGATTCTTGATGAATTTTAGGTTTTAAATTAAGATTAAAATTTGACGGTTTGGTTTCGGATTGCTATAGTACATAACGATATATCTTAATTATTTAAATTGTTTAACATTTGTCAAAAACATTATCATAAAAATAAGATATAGGATTTTTTTGTAACATTCCTTATAACAATAGTTTTTCAGACATACGGCAGTGTTTCTCCATTAAAAAAAAAAAACTTATGAAATAAATATAGAATATTGGTTGACATTTGAAATTTTTTTATTAAATTTGAATTTGGCAGTTATTTCTTGAAAATTACATCAAGTAAATTGTAACATAAATTGTAACAAAAAAAAAAAAAGTAAATTTTAGTTTCTTAATACATGAATATGTTACCTAGGTACTCGATATTACGACTCAATCTCGTTATAAGAAGTCTTCTACTAAGAAAAAATTTTCACTATAGCTTAAATCAAGAGAATATTATCCCTTAGACCGTTTGTTAATTGGGCCCAAATTTAACTTATATTACAGTGAGAAATTATAGCAGAGGTTACCGACGATCATAGCACATGGATGCCCTTCGTGCCATCCACGTACTATGATTATCAGTAATCTCTGTTATAATTTCCCCCAGGAAATAAATGAATAATCCCAGGAGCGTGTCACTAGATGTTAATCGGACTACCATACTATTATTTTTACACGTGCTCCATATTTATATTTGTATTGGGATTCGCTTTATTTTTTTTTATTTACTGGTTTACTTTTGTATCACCTTTGCCTTTTTACTTCTGCAACTTTTTCAAGCTCTTACTTTCGCTTTGCTCTTATTGTGTCTTTTTTTTAGCTTCATTTTACTGTGCTGATTTACTTTGGCTTTAAAGCTCTTTATATAAAACGTGAAACATACAAAAAAGAAAATTCTTCAAATAAAAATTAAGCGTAAAAAATTAGAGTTTCCCGATGATCAATATGAGACCGGGAATCTTTCATGGGAAGATTCCCGGTCACAATATAATTATTATAATAATAAATATTAATATTAATATGTATCACGTTGTGAGACCGGAAACGTGACCTGACGGCAGGCACGTGACCACGTGACTCGGTAAATCTTAATTTGGGTTTTCCGCCCAGATCTGCCAGATATCCCGGATACAGTATGTCAGCCAGATCTGGAGAATCAGGATTATTTGGGTGAAATGGTGGGTATAGACTATAAGGTTGATAATGGGTTTATTGATGATATTTGGGATATCGGGGATTCCTGGGAATGTAAATAATAGAATTAACAATTATAAATAAAGGCCTTCTGGCCCTTCGGAAACAACAGTTAGCCAGTTAGTCAGTTAGTAGTTCCCGATTACCTAATAATAAAGTACCTAAGTCATATAAACACCTACATACAATCGTTTTATATACCACTCGACCAAATCTAACACGCCTCTTTCGACCCTAAAGTAACCTAAGTTTTGGTTACACGGACCTCCTTTCGATTTAGCGACAGACTCGCCGTTTTCGGGTCTGACAACGTATAAAAAATAATAATGAAGGTAGTCATGAGTGACATTTAGTGCAACAGGGGATTATGATACTCAACAAACCAATATGAATATTGCCTGTTGAAACATAAAGGCACATTACATGTTGTGTACCACTACAGGAGCGACCGTCGATGTTACACGACAGACTTTTCACCCGGTGTGCAACATATAAAAAAACTATTTTACAATACCAGATCATTCCGACAGTACATGTTATGATTATAATCCCACACCATTTTTAATAATAAAAATGGTGTGGGATTATAATCATAACATGTACTGTCGGAATGATCTGGTATTGTAAAATAGTTTTTTTATATGTTGCACACCGGGTGAAAAGTCTGTCGTGTAACATCGACGGTCGCTCCTGTAGTGTACCACACCTGACTTTGTTAGTATATTTTTGCTCAGCTGTATTTTTAAACCATCACCAAACAAAGGAACCTTTCTGTCATGATGTACTGGGCAGTAACTTTGTAGGTATAATCGTTCAACAGGTATCTCAAAATTTTTTGTAACATAAATTGTCTTTGTTAATCATTTTGTAATTCTGACTGAAACATTGCCTTTTTATCTGTATATTAATTGTTGGCATTTCGAGTGATTCTTCTACCAAATTATATACCAAATTTATTCTGAAATCTTTGTGCACCAGTTTCATTGGCAATTTAATTAACATTAACATTATTGTCATTAGAGGTTTCAAAGTTAAATTCAGAAAATCTTATTTTATTTTTCCGATTTATAATTCAACGTAGTAAAAATGTTATTGAAAAAATCCTATTTATTTTCGAGATGTGTCACTTATTTGTTAACTTTGAAACCCCAATTGGTAATGTTCCTAATTTTATTTTCAATTTCATTCTCAATATTTTCGTGTAAGCTCAAAAATATATAAATTATTATCTTCAGTATCGCCATCCATATTGTATATTTTGACGACTAAAGAATAGTAATAAAAATAAAAAAATTACGATAATTGTGATCGACAAAGCTAATAGAAGATGATCGAACAATTGCAAAAAAAAACAATACTAAAGCCAGGATTTTCAGATTACATAAAACCTTGATTTTATTGTGGTACATGTACTACACGAATTACAAATCATATTTCAAAAATTTGGGAGCAAGAAACGGTTTAAGGCTCATGTTTGCATGTAAATAATTTTGAGTAAATCGAATTGAAATATCGTGCGTCTGTTCGTATCATTTCTCAATTTACGAGAAATTCGGATAATTGTAAAGACGATATATAAGAGAGCATTAATGAACTGTCTTTATTTATGAAATAAATTTTGTGAATGTAATGTTAATAAGGAATTTTTTAAAAAGTATTTAAATTTTTAATTATATTGAAAATCGACCTATGTAAACTATTCTTTAATCGGTGAAATTTAAAAGAATAACGCGTGTCAATTAATAATCGAAAAAATTTGTGATTGACACAAAACACATCAACATTGATATTACCGATATATGTTAAAAGGAACATTTAAAAAATATATATATATTTCTAATATTATCATTTTTTACTTAAATATTTTGACCGTTAATAATTTTATTTATTTATATAATCACTCATACTAGGAGGGACCACCCTATCTTCTATTTCTTTATTATCTTCACTATCTCCAATAACACCCCAAAATTTACTTGGCTCGGATCCCATCTGTAGTTCCATTACAGCACCTCCATAAATGTCTTTATGCCGAAACCAGGTTTTTTCCCATTCTTTGTTATTTAGTTTTACATTTTGAACATATATATTGACATCCGTCAAATTATGAGCTATAATCGTAAATGTTTTTAATGGTGATGTTGAAAGGTATATGGCAACCTTATCGAAACATGGTGAGTTTATTAGATAGATGTCGGTTCCTCCTCTATAATAATAACAATATATTGGTTAGTATTATTGTATTTTTTATATTCCTATTTTATGTTAATAAAATGAAATCACATACAATGGAAATATTCCAATGGCGTTAAAGGCGTACCAACTTCCCATCGCTCCAGAATCATCGTTTCCTGTCAAATAAAAAAAAATTTTTTATAAATATATTTTAGTTTGCAAAATAAGTGTAATAATATTTGACTGAATTTTATTTAATATAATTTTTTTCATTTGAGTACCGCTAAGGGAAAACCTGTCATCAAGTTTATTGTTTACAGGACTCAATCAATTTTATTTAATAGAGATTTTATCCGGTGCAAAATATAATTGAAAGCCCGATGAAGGCTTCCCTTGACGGCACTCATTTTAATTTTACAAACCTGGTATCCCATCCTGCCCAATTCCAAATTTAGTTTGCATGATATTTCTAATCACGTCCACGCTTTTATATTGTTTTCCAATAAAATGATATAGACACGTATGAAAAAAACTAGGTTCATTTCCTATGTTATAATAACCTCCCAAAAATGATTTAGCAGCAAATGTTTTGT